GTTTTTTTTTTTTTTTTTTTTTTTTTGACCTGACAGAGGAAATGGATTCATAATATTCTGCTGTAATGTGACATGCAGAGCTGTCAAACTGTGACACTTGGGATGAGTGAGACATTTAAACGTCAGAAATTCAATTTTTAATGGCACACTGGCAACACAGACCTAACACTTCATCACAAGGATGACACCTTCTAAAAGCCATTTTAAAATAAATCAGAGAGAGGATGTGCTCCTTCGAAAAAAGAATGCATTTAAACAAGTTTCAGGAATGAGGAAACTGTATGACAGTTTCATTATTAGATCAATAAAATTCAGGAGATTTTGGTGAGAAGGGATGTGTGTGTGGAGATGCAGCTCAAACCCACATAATCTGGAACTGCTTAAGACCTTCATCAACTTCTTACTGTACAAATCACATTCCTCTTACATCTAAAAGCAATTTGTTTGCAAAAGCCCTTGGGGACCTTTAGACCAAGGGCTTGTTGGCATTCCCAGATGGAGATTGGGACTGCATTTGCCATTCCACAGGCTCCTGGTGTGCAGCCACCCTCAGAGGGTTCCCCAGAAGACATGGCACACATGGCCTGTTGCTCTTCTGGACAGCAAGGGACTCACTGGAGTTCCTCTTCCACCACCGATGCCTCAGCCCTTGGTGCCCAGGCCAGGCTGGGCTCTCACCAAGGACTGGAGCAGCTCTGCCAAGCAGAGTGAGGAATGAAGAGATTCTGGGGACAATGACGGACCCAGCCTGGGGAGCTGCTTCCAGGCTCCAGCACCACACTGGCTACTTTATGACAGCAAATCAAGCTGTGGCTTCAAATCATGCAAGTGAATGTTTAATGTATAATTTACTGTGGAAGGGATTGCCTTGGACATTGGGATAATAACTCAGTAAAAACAATGAATATGGAAGGAAATTAATTAATTTGTTAAAGAAAAAGTCAATCCAAAAAAAGAAAATAAAAACAATACTCAGGGTTCAGTCCAATGGTCCCTAAACACCTCCATACAACAGCAAACCACTTACTGCAGTGCTGTAGTTTCTGGTTTGTTTTTTGATTTTGGTTTGTGTTTTTGGGCTTTTTTTTTTTGCGAATTTGCAAAACTAAATCAACTGTCAGTTAAGTTAGACTGGCTATTTTCTCTCACATGAATGCATTTTAATTATATTTTTACTTAAACAGCAAATCAGGAAACAAATATGTTCTGTTTCAGATTGCAATGACAAAGTCTTCACACTTTGTGATGAAATGGTTGTTAATAAAATGAAGAACAACCAAGTGATTGTTTCTTGCTTCAGTGTTAGAATTTAGGCTAGTATACAGCCATCATCAAACTCATTCCTGGAGACTTTTTTTTTTATATTTGAAGCAATCTGAATGTATAATTGGAAGATATACCTTTGTTACATTTAGAAGCCCCAATTTCTCTACCCATCCCCAGCACTGGTGTTATTTATACATAAGGATATAGAACTGGCTTATACAAACATCATCTGATGGGAGCAGAACCTGCAGTAGCCAGACAGGGTGCAAAAGACAAAGTTGCAATGCTGAAGACAATACAGATGTAATTAAGGTATTCCTGGGTTTCTCAGTCAGAGTACTGGTGTTTTGCTTCTCTGTGCTACAGTGTATCTGTTGTCTAAAGGAATTAATAAAACTGGAGGATAAGGTGAATCTCTTTGTATCTCAAAACATCTTTTGGGCAGATCACCTGTGCCAAAGTACATATGGATACACCACTGAAATGGGCAATGGATACAGCAACTCCAACAAACCTCCAAGCAAGAGCTCTTCGTTCTCGCTACTTCTAATCTGTGAACATTTCTTATGCTCCTGAGTGAGCTCCAGAAAGCACTGTCACACACAGGAAGGAACTGAGTCACATCACTCTATCAGACACTTCCAATGATTCCTTTCAACTGCAAAATCTACCCCAAAATTATTTCAATATGACCCATAAGTTCTTTTATATATAACTTTTTCTCTCAGCTGTTCCACTACCATTTAACAAGGATATTCCTGGTTCCTCATACAAATTCAGTATTGATTGAGAGATCCCACTCCTCTGTACCCTCTGCCTCCTGCTTCAGTAAATGTCTCTTCCTATTTCTTGTGTGCTTTATAAATTACTTTTGGAAGAAAAGTAGAGATCGAATAAAAACTTCCCCTAAGTTATTTTTCAGCTCAGACTTCCACTTACGAAATCTGAACTTCATTTTCTGATATGTACATTAAAGCTTCAACCTCAGGTGTTCTATTTTAATTGCCTGCTATTTTCATTACCAACCATGAGGGCAGCAAATGCTCTTCAGGAGATACTTGTATTTTAATTTATCTGCAAACATAAATCACACATTATAGCACTTTTTTCCTCTAGGTTAATTGAATCAATTCTCTAAATGTCTCTATGCCTGACCATTGCAAAAGGCTCACTGGTTGAAATCTCTTTAAGAATTATGGCCCTTGAGCTGTGTGCAGGAAGAGAGCAGTCCTTGCTCCAGACAAAGCTATATTATACATAGAAACTAAAAAGGCATTGTTATACACCTACCTAAGCAACATGATCTGTGAAGCAACACCCACAATACTGTGAGGATCCTCTAAAATATTATTTCAGAATTTTTTCATGTTTCTCAGTGAATCGGTTGTTTTAATGTTATAAATCTTAATAATAATTGAGTCTGGATATATCTTAAGTTATAAATAAACAGAATAAAATCTCCTTTTACTTTCCTTAGTTCTACATTACCTTTAACACCAGAAAAAAAAGCTGATTTAAAGAACAACTATTTTATTACTGAATATTCACAAATGTCTAATGAAGAAAACTTGATTTAACCCCTTTTTTACTAAAAATTAGTCAAATGGATAATTTTTAGTAAAATGAGTCAAACAGATCAGCTTTCTTACCTGTGATATTGACCATTTTATACCCAGTAGAACTGCTAAATGCTGGCAAATTAACACTTGTTAAATTTACAAAATTTGCAAAAAGAAAAGCCCTAAAGGGCAGAATACTTTGTTCAAGCAACAGGGATACAGCTGGTAAATTTACCAGCTGCTGGTAAATTTATGGTAAATTTAGTCCAAAACTGAAATGCAAATGTAGGGATTTAAGCAAGCTTCAAATAATTCAGTGAGAGTGATAAAGCAGAAAATGCTTGAAAAAGGTCAATGTTTGACTCA